ACAACGAATACTGATTGATATAAATATTTACATATTATATTGCAGCCAAATCAAGCTCATTTATCTACATTAATGATAAAAATAAATGTGTGTGTGTGTGTGTGTGTGTGTGTGTGTGTGTGTGCGTGTGCGTATGCGTGTGCGTGTGCGGGTGCTGGTGCAGGTGCGGGTGCGGGTGCTGGTGCGGGTGCGGGTGCGTGCGTGTGTGTGTGTGTGTGTGTGTGTGTGTGGGTGTGTGTGGGTGTGTGTGGGTGTGGGTGTGCGTGTGCGTGTGCGTGTGCGTGTGCGTGTGCGTGCGTGCGTGCGTGCGTGCGCGTGTGTGTGCGTGTGTGTGTGTGGGTGTGTGTGGGTGAGGGTGTGTGTTCAAGGATGTTAGACAGTTAGATAGATATTCTTTATTGCACGAAACACAAAGTATCTTAATCTTAAGAACTAATACATTGTTAACAGACGTATATATTCACAGTCATTTATATTTATTTCTATAGGTAACACTTTATTGTACGCCAAAAAATAACATAAATATTAACAAAAAATGAGAAAAAGAAATGTAATACAATGGGCGGTCTTATCGCTAACAGCGATCTCTTCCAGAAAACCTTTTGATGGACATTATATTTTTATTACATCATATTATTCTTATCATTTTTTAGTATACTTCAATTAGAGGCTGTTTTCACCTTATGCAGCTTCTAGCGAAAATTATCGGTATGATTTTTTACTGTAATTACCTACTGTAAATTTCATTTAAATTCTACGTATCTTGTATCTCAGCAAAATATTACTTTTAAATTATTAAATTTTAATAGTCCTTGTTATGGCCTACGGCTGCTCCCATAAAGGTCATAACCTCAGGGGCCCATTCAGCTGAGTTTCGACGAGCAGACGTAGGTCGGGCCTCCTAAGGCCAAAGTGGAAAATCTCTAGTTACACTAAACTATATGGGGGAGCGTTCTGTACTACGGCCATTCAACAGGGAGAAGATCAGACGGAGCTTACTTACCTATATCCAAGGCGACTGGTCCCTCCGGAGTCGGTCAGGTCGCATGTGGTTGTGTAGTGCAAGGGAAATAAGGTGCTGTGATGTGTATCTGGGTGTGACTGATGGTGATTGACCTTAGTAGACCTTGGCCGTCGGCAGCAGCCCGGGCGTCAGCACCGCTCCAAATTGAGGTAATCTTCCGCGGCGCCGTCCACAGTCACTTTCCTCGTTCGTCACGATGACAGTCCATTAACTCTATCGTAATATTAACTAACTTACAGAAGCCACTAACTCTCGTTTGTTATAAAGCTTAACACACAAACGAACAGGGAGTGTCCGGTTCAAAGGTCACTACCGCTTCGCGTAACAACAGTTATTTCTAGAATATCAAAAGCCGCACTAGCTAATATTGTCGAATGCACTTATACAGATTCTGAGTCAGACACGATGAGTCCCGGGAAAGCTCTCCAGCACGGAATGCGCGTCACAAATCCTAGACAGGATATTTACTATCCGCGCCTAATTATTCCGAGTTCCCGAACAAAATTGACAGCGTGCTGGCGTTAGCACAGCTGGCAGACGACTGCTGCGCTTGCGCGTTCTACGCACGACCGAATGTCAAACCGGTATGGTACCGAACCGCGCGCCCTCTGACGTCGAATCCGAAAACAGCGTTTGGCGCGAACAGTCCTTATCGAAAATAAATACAAATAGCTTGTTCGTTTTCACATACAGTACGGCAGTTTGGAGTGTATTATCGGTCTACAAAACGAAGACTGGCGCCCAAATTGAGCTCTTTTTGCATTTTGCAACTCTTTTGACTCGGACACTTGAGCGCAGAGCAGAGGTCCATTTAGTAATTTAATCCATTTAGTCAATGTTTATGATATTAGTTTAAATTATTTTAATTAAAAAAAATTATTCATCACAATAAAAATACCTAGTCAGGTCATAAGTATTGTCACACAGTAAAAACTTTTCTTTTAGAATGCTGGCCACAAAAAAGTTTATTGAATTCGAATTTCGAATTGATATGAAAATAAAACTGTATACTATTTAGGATTTTACTCATTTTTAAATATGGAGTGGACGCTTAAAGAAGACCGTGTTGTAGTTATTGCGTTGCATCGTTGCGGTTACGCGCCAATTCAAATTTATGACATACTGAAAAATTTGAATATAACCAAAAGATTCGTTTATCGTACCATCAAACGATACAATGAAGACTCTAGTGTAGATGACAGGTCAAGAAGTGATCGCCCTCGGTCTGTTAGGACTTCAGCAGTGATAAAAGCTGTGAAGGCGCGAATTCAAAGAAATCCCAAACGTAAGCAGAAACTGTTGGTCCTTCAGATGGGGTTAAGCAGAACCACGGTGAAAAGGGTGTTAAATGAAGACTTAGGGCTTCGGGCATATCGAAGAAAAACAATACATCGTTTGAATGCTCGTCTAATGGACCTGAGACTGTAGAGATGCCGCGCTTTGTTGAAGCGGTACGCGGGAAAAAAATATCGGGAAATTCTTTTTTCGGATGAAAAAATTTTTACCGTAGAAGAGAGCTACAACAAACAAAATGATAAGGTATACACGCACACAGTAGTGAAGAAGCGAGCAACCGTATTCCGCGTGTCCAACGAGGTCATTTTCCATCCTCGCTCATGGTATGGTTGGGAGTTTCTAATTGGGGCTTAACAGAGGTACATTTTTGTGAGAAGGTGTAAATACGAATGCAGTTGTGTACCAAAATACAGTCCTGACGAACCTTGTGGAACCTGTTTTTCATACCATGTTCAATAACAGGCACTGGGTATTTCAACAAGATTCGGCGCCAGCTCATAGAGCGAAGAGCACACAAGACTGGCTGGCGGCGCGTGAAATCGACTTCATCCGGCACGAAGACTGGCCCTCCTCCAGTCCAGATTTGAATCCGTTAGATTACAAGATATGGCAACACTTGGAGGAAAAGGCGTGCTCAAAGCCTCATCCCAATTTGGAGTCACTCAAGACATCCTTGATTAAGGCAGCCGCCGATATTGACATGGACCTCGTTTGTGCTGCGATAGACGACTGGCCGCGCAGATTGAAGGCCTGTATTCAAAATCGCGGAGGTCATTTTGAATAAACTTTAGTGTCATAAGAATCTATGTTTTGTTAAGTTCATTTTGGTATATAAATGGTTACATAATGAATAAACTTGTTTCAATTATTTTAGTTTATGACCTGACTAGGTACTTACATATGGAATATGTAAGTATCCATCTTTTTGTAAATTTTAAGTATTTTGACTGCTTTATGCACACGTTAACCGCCGGCAATCGGTTTAAGCACCGATCGGCATTTTTCAAGGAGCACTTACTTCGGCGGAAACGATTCTTGTAATGATAAAATCGATTTCGTAAGCAGTTGAATAAAACTACCCTTACGGATTTTATCGCGTTTAATTAAGTTATTTTATATTCCCGACGTTTCAAGCTTTTCGGAAGCAGTTTTTATAAACACACAAGCTTTTAAATCCAATACCTTGGCATAGGGGAATAATCATGCGAGGTGAGTCCACTGGGTTAAATAGTCTAAAGGCGGCTACTCACTTGCCTGCCGCAGGGGCAATCTAGGGTGTGAGAGTGGGGAAGACCCTTAATTGCCTCATTAATTGTGATGTGTGTATGAAAGCAGGGCCAATTTTCTAAGTCGGCCCTGCAGCAGGGCGACATGGGCGAAAGCCCTTCCTTGCTCCCTAAATAAAAGCTACCGCTGCCACGTGTGTAGCGGAATTGGGGCAATTTCAATCAGTTCGTTAGTGACTTTCGCGCACAGCACGCGATACAATGGATACCAAAAAAAAATCTGAAATTTGGACACTAGTGATCCAAGTTTATAAAGAGCGGCTTCTTCACCCAGTATATCTTTTTTGTCTTTTTGTGGTAGCACCGCAGAAAGAACGTTATTTGAACGTCGTAACATTTTTAAACGTGGTAGAGTCATGCTGCAGCTTTTAAGGACTGTTATTGTGGTAATTATTAATTAATTAGTTGCTTTATCAATAAAAATGGGTGTCTATGGGCCACATTATCCACTTAACATCAGGTGAACTGTGCTCATTTTTCACCCTTATTCTATATAAAAAAAGAGCCAAAACTGGCGCTATCCTCAACGCGAGTGTCCAGCGACACGTACACTCTCACACTGAACGGCAGGCATGTGTGTAGAGAGAGTTCTGATATTGCCCCGAACGCTGTTCATCTTAGATTGCCCCTGCGGCACGCAAGTGAGTAGCCGCCTTAAGACCGAGACATACCAGACGATTTTCTTTAAATTCTCTTTAACACTCAACCAGCTAATCTTAATTTTTTGATTCCGCTAAAGGACTGACAGCTGCCAACTAGTGACTCCAACAGGTTTAATATTATAACTTCTAAATCAGAGCATATTTCAGTTTTTCTGATTTAGAAGTTATAATATTAATAGTGATAGATAAATATGCCTTTTTACAATTGACTGGTTATCATTGATTCGATGTTTTATGAAAATACATTGACACATCGAGTATATCAATAACTTTCCAAAATATCGGATCGATTCGATACATCGTATTGTAAACATCGAGTGAATTCGATGCATCGATGCATATCGAATATCCCTAGTGATACCCAAGATAAAACGTATGTCTGCTTAGCCGCCTTGAGATACTATCGCCAACTGTCTGCTGACTACTACACAATGTGACGCATCAAGATATTGTGAAGCAATGTACTATAAAGGATTATTATCACTTGATATTGAAAATCTTTAAAAACGAAAATCCCGAATGAAATTAAGACATGGCTTAAAAACAAGCATCCAAGCCAAAAATCTTAATAAAAAAGCCTAGAGCCTACTGTGCACAACAAACAAGTCGCTACTTGCCGCAAAATTTAAACATGCGAAGCGAAAAACTGCGTGGTGTTGGTGTTTTATATGTACTATTTTTAAACTTTTTTTTATTGCCAGTGCTTTGTTTTGTAATTAGTTTCTATTCAATATGGATATACCAATATGTTTTTCGAATTACTTCGTTAATAAACAAAGTTTAAGATCATTTAGCAATGTTGTAAAATCAAAGTATTTTAAAAATCAGGATAACGGTAACGCTTTTACAAAGTTTCTTCTTGAAGACAATGACTTGGTGTGTAATACTTCTAAAAATTTTGTTTTTATATTGGATGAGTTACGAAATAATTTAAGGAATAACTGCAAACAGGAATTTAAACAGTACTTTACCCAATTTAAATACCCCAAAAACATGAGTACTGTTGATAAAAAAGATGTGTTCTTGGGATGTATAAATGCACTTGGAGATATAGTTCCGAAAAGTTTATATGGTGGAAAACATAATTATAAAATATTCAAAAGAATTGTCCAAGAAATAATTTACACAATGAATAAACAACATATCTTTTATACAATAATGCTCAAAAGCTGGGATTTGACTGTGTCTCCATGGCAAACTCTTCCATCCCATTTATCGTGTGAAATTCTTAATAAAATACTACATTGGATTATGAAATACTTATTATCAGCTATCATTAGTCTTAATTTTTATGTTACTACATGTAAACTAGATTCAGATGATAATAAGCTACATTTTTTTAAAAAAGAGCACTGGCAAAGCTTTCATGACAAAATGATCTCTGGTATGATATTAACTAAAATAATTCATAAATATGATCAAACTATTATGAAAAACGGAGTAAGTACGAAAAATAATCTCCAAGAGCGGTTAAAATTGCAGATTTTAAGAAAACAAATACCAAAATTACATTTATTTCTCAAGCAAAATAATAACTGCAGAGCCATTGTGTGCTTATATGGGCATCTTGGGAAGACAGAAAAGTACAAAATAAAAGAAAAATTATTATTTTTGAAAATGTTAAATGGGACAGTTCATGAAAAATTAGAAAAGCAGTATAGCAATTTATATTCAACTTGGCTGCAAAAATGCAAACCTAAACTTTACTTTATAAAAACAGATCTCAGTAATGCTTTTGGATCAATTAATAAGGAACAATTATTAAAGATACTTTATGAACAGCATTTAAAATTTCAGAAGACAGAAAAGTGCTTATACATAAAAAAGAAATTTGCTCAGAATTTCAAAGAAGTAACTTCAGAGTTACAAAAACCTTTATTGATTCGTGTAGGTTCAACAATTTATGAATGGAAGGAAGGTCTAGTACAAGGTTACAAATTTTCCCCAGCCCTTTCCGAACTATACTACACTTATATGGACAAACTATATTTTAAAGAGCATATGAATTCAAATGAATCATTATTAAAAATGTTTGTCCGTGTTGTGGATGATTATTTATATATTACAGACTCAATAAAAGATGCTCATTTATTTTTAGAAGCTCTTTCAAATTATCATAATGTAAATTACAATAAAACTTTTGTTAATTTCCATCATAAACTTATCAAATATAGTAATAAGATAACATTTTTGGGTCATTGCTATGACACTGCTACTTTAAGTGTTAGTAGGGCAGATAATATATACCGTGGACAAATGTGCTATAAAATTACTTTTTCTCATGCAATTGTAAATCTTCACAAATTTCTTGCGACTCGTATAGGATTATCAAGTATTCAAATTAATTGCCACATATTTAATTTACATTATAATAATGAAAAAACTGTATGGCAGCATATTTTTATAACATTGTGCTTAGCAGCTAATAAATTCTGTACAATCTTAGCTATAGTTTGTGAAAATTCTGAAATTGAAAAGTATTTCATATTTTATAAAGAAAAAGTAACTGTGAAACTATGCAATTCTATGATAGAAGTATTAATGAAAAATAAACCGCATAATTATAATTTTGTTTACTGTATAAATCATTTTAGATATTTGTCATATAAAGCATTGTATTTATGTGCCAAAATAACACCAAAATGTAATAGTTTGGTACCAGTTCTAAAATCTGAGTTATCCAAATCAAATTGTATTCATGGAAAATGGAAGGAACATGCAAGAATAATAGACAGAAATGGACAAATTTTTCAACAAGCTGTAAGAGAAGTTTGCAAACGACCAGACTTAAAGATAATTATGAAAAAGTTTGATAGTTTACCCATAGGCTTTGAATGCTACAGAAATCATCAGAAATAAAATAACCATTACAATTGTAAAGATTTTTATTTTGAAATAAACATTGGTAAAAAATATCAGTCGTGAGATTCTTAATATTGTGGACGGAATTCATTACATACAACTTCTGTTTTTTACATACTTTTTCATTCATAAAGAATGTACTTATACTTATTTTAAACAACATACAACTTTCACTATGATTTACTGTATATTATCACGAAACTGGATGGATTAATAACGTTATGCACATATACAAATTAAAGCTTAAATATGCTAAAATTAAAATTGTTTGCACTTATATTTAAATAATAGCACAAATTATTTCAATAAAATTACTAAGAACAATGCGATCACGACAACATGTCCCATTATATATATCCTATAGGAATGTGACAAAAAATCTGGATCAGGTGCTACATAATAAGATGCTTGGGGAGCATCGCATGAAACAATGCGGGCCGCTCGCAGTAAAGCGGGTCCTGCAATAATTTCCGCTGATCTCTTGCTATGTGGTATAGGTTTCAACCTTACCGCTGCATCACTGAAGATAAGGTCAGCATAAGGGGGTTGCGAGTAGAACATACTAAAACTGTAACAAAAGATTATGTAAACTATGGGCTAGTAAAGGCATTTTCTATTATTTGGATGAATTGTTAATTGTTATAATACTTCTATCGTGGTATAAATTGTTATTTTTTTGTCATAGTCTATTATATAAGAGCCATAGTATAGACCAATTTACGTTTCTGAAAAGGTAACAGAGTAGAGTCCGCCACGCTGATTTATTGAGTTGAAACAAAATTTAAGATTACTACAGAACTACAACAGTTTATAAATTAAAACATTTTTTTTTTATAAAGGGGTAGTAATAATGTTTAATAAATTAATATTATTCACATTTGAGCGCTGTGGTAGTTCGCTTAAGCTATAGCCTAAGCGCTCGCTATAAATTTCACAGTACGCGAGCAAGCCGGGTTCGATCTCCGTCGGCACCAATGAAATCGTTAGTTGCAATTTTAAGTGCTGATTTACCACGTTCTCGGCGGTGAAGGATAACATCGTGAGGAAACCGTCATGTCTGAGAAATAAATAATAATATTTCGAAGATGTGAAGTTCGCCAACACGCATTGGGGCAGCGCGGCAGACATTTTTTTGCCCTAAAACCCTCAGGTGAAGGCCTGTGCCCGGCAGTGGTATACCGTGTGGTGGCGGCCCAAGAGATTCATTCTATCATCCTATTTAGACCCGTGGGCGTCTTTAGACAACAGCAGTAACTATGGAAAATGCCATAAATATCTTACGATTATTAGAATTTTGTTAACTATTTAGGTCTAATCAAAGGGAGATAGGTTATGTAGATTATATATCATAACATAAATATTTGCCATCAGTGGCGGATTATCCTTAAGGCAAACTAGGCACGTGCCTAGGGGCGCAAGGTTACAAAGGCGCACGCGGGGAAATGAATTCCACAGTGTGGTCATGCGAGGCAAAAAATTCCACGTAAATCGCACCGTAGTGGATAGCCAGCCATCGAGATGATGAGGATGGAATTTCGACTTCTGTTGCAGTATAAGATGGTGGAATTCAGCAGCTGGAATTCACCCGAACTATTCCTTTGAGCAATCCCCATGGTATATGCCGTATAATATGCATAGAGATGCAACGTCTCTTCGCAAAGCCAGTGTATCAAGCCGATGGGAAAGAATTTGGGCATTAACGATTCGGGCCGCTCTCCGTTGAATACGGTACTGTACGTCTCTCGAAATGACGACGCCAAGGATGCCGATGCTGGTTGAGGCAACGAGGGGAGTGCCCTGAAATTGAGGAGATACGACCAAAGAGGTTCTTTCTTTTGCGGTAAACGCACTAACCTGTGTCTTTTAGAGGTTAAACTAGATTAGTACGGCCGGTGTATAAGGCATCGCCAGTACTGTAGCCTTAACAATTAATGTTACTAGTATGCAACATATCATTGATATGCAGAAGTACAGGATAGGTCGCAGCCTTGTATAACATCAGCATTCACAATTCGATGTGCACGCCGAACATGCACTGTCGACTACGACCTTAATACTCCGATTTTCAAGAAAACTGGTGACCCAATTGCATAATTTTCCGTAAGCCCATTAGAGGGAAGCTTTCAACGAAGCGCTTATGCCAAATCGAATCTAAAGCCTTCGCTATGTCCAAATTAACCGCCCAGGGCCTTTGACTTGGTACCAACTGCCTCCATCCGTCGGTGAGTCAGATAGACAAGAAGATCACCAACTGAGCGACCTCTACAGAAACCGTATTGATGGTCACCATTCTGCCGATGCTCTTCAAGGCACTAATGATCTGCCAGTTAATAATGGATTCCATTACATAACAAGGCGATGTCGATAGGCCTATAGGTGACGTTTCCGAGCGGTCACCTTTTTTAGAGATCGGGTGCACTAAGACTGTCTTCTATGAGCTTGGAACGACGTCTAAAGAGTAAAAGAACCGGGGAAGACACGTAAGAACTGGTGCTAACTCTGGAGCACACGTCTTCAGCGCAATTGGGGGATTCCATTAGGCCCACTCCACTTATGGATGCTGCTCATCTCCTAGTTTATTTCCTTCTCTCGCTTCTTATGACACCCATTGAACGATATGGGGTAGTGGATATTCTTAGCAACTGCATAGTTATTTTGTTGTAGACGTAAAATACTTAGACGTGCGATATGCAGCAGCGTCTAAATTGCGAGACGTCTAGTAATGTCAATGAGAATCAATTCACTTGCTAATAATTTCATTTAAATAATTTGTCAATATCATGATTACAGCGCCACCTGTTAAATTCTAGCATAGCTATGAACCATCGTCTCTGTAAAACAAATGACCTGAATCAATGAAGTTGTTAAGAAGATACATAATCATTTATATACACCAGATTACATATGTAGTAATATATTTATATAAAAAACAAATGTAGAAGAATGATTTACCTAAAATCATCTGACGTCGCTGCGCCGTAAAGCTGCTGCGCATACACCATGAGGTTGGAAAATGTATCCAACTCGGTGTGGTTGGCTCTTCCCATCAAAACTGATCCAGGAACCTTGCCAAGGTTACAGTGCTCATATTCATGCATTTTAGCGCGTGTACCTATAAAGAATAAACATTTTTGCATGAAAATTAAATCGTGTATCTAAGTAAAATTTTGACACGTAGTCGCACCGTATAATATCCAACAGTTTATCTCGTACCCTCACAGACCAACAAAGAAACATAGCCGGAGTGCTGCAAACATTTCAAGTGACGCCAAAACCATATATATATATATATATATATATATATATATATATATATATATTTATATATATATATATATATATATATATATATATACAGGGTATTTTTGGAACGCTCCCGAAAACTAAGACAGGCGACAGCACCAAGTATACCTTTGATCATGGGTTACAAATAAAGTCGATCCTGATGAAAAAAAAATCATCTTTTAACAACGTTTTATTAGCTTTATTCACGCGCCATCATGTTAGTACAGCTAAATGAAACGATAATTTCATAAAAAATATCATGAAAATACTGAAACTTAAAACCAGCAGTGGAAACTGAATTGATATCACCTGACTAATGGAGGTTAATGTACGCGCGAACGGTGAAAAACAAACGCTGGCCTTGAACTTGGGCACTGAGCGATTTATCACATATTGGTACGAAAGGCGCGCGACGGGGGAACAATCCGCCAGTATTAGTGTGCCTGCATGCTATTGGTTCCCGCGCTTTGTTCGCTCCAAAAATACAGTCGCATACACAGCTTACTTTGCGACTCGTTTTAAAAAGGAAGAAAAGAAAAATTATTTATATCTATTGTTTTATGACTAAACTAGTGATCGAAAAGGTAAATATGATAGGAGAAGGTGAATGGGGAAAATTGTGCAGTAAAGTTAAAAGTGTGGAGGAAGAATACCGAAAAAATTACCATGTGATCGACCTGATGACGGAAGCTCAAGCGAAGATGAAAGTGATGATGAAGTAGCAAGTAACACCAACACACCATTAACATCTGGCTTCCATGTGACCCAAGACGTCATAATGGACGGCGTGTTACCCTTAGCTAAAGTTTTCTTGTTACAAACTACTTTATATTTTACGATAGAAATAACAAATAATGCTCATGTAAACATTATCCATTTTTAATTCCCACCTCTTCCAAAGTTCTAAGTAGCTAGTAAAACACCTATTATGATTCTACATTAAAACAATTAATTACTATAATATTATAAAACAATAGCCCAATACCATGTAGTACTTTAGAACGCGACTGTACCCACACCCCCTCCGCTATCGACCTGTATCTAGCTCGGTACGAAACAATGCTGCGGTCGTAAGAAAAAAGGGCGCATCTAACAATTTATGAATAAATGAGTTAAATATACCATTCGATTCATGACAAGAAGGCGCATCTACTAAATTTTTTTAATATTCACAAATATCTATATTTTAGAAATTATCGTAAGAATTTTAGACGTAACTGTTGATCACAGATGACTTTTTTTAGTAGAAAAGACTTATACAAATTCAACATAAAAGAAAAGACTTATTTAACCAGTTGCTACGTCATCTTTAACAACATTTGCATCGATTACTTAAATTTCAATTATTCTTGGTCTTGTCTTATTATTCTATATCTTATTATTAAGAGCTTATATCTTATTGTTAAGAGCTGGTGTTTCACATGTGGTCCCATATAAATTTGATCGAGGTCAGACCAATAGTTTTTGAGTTATCCTTAATTATTTATATTAAAGTCGGTTGTACAAAATTTTTAATTTTTAATTATTATCGTAGTAAGTCTTGTATGATATCCCCTTTAAAATCATTACTCAAGAGTTGCGGGTTGTTATTTTTTGTGTCTCACTACCAATGCTTTACTAATATTTATTAAAAAAAAAAAGTAGTAAATTACTATTAGCGTCCTTTCAACTTTAAATGACCTTTCCAAAATATGTAAAATTGTTAAATGAATGGCAGTTTTTTTTTTTAATTTATTAGGTTGGAAAGACGCAAATAGTTATATGCGTCTTTCCTTCGATGTTTTTGTGTTGCCAGGTGTATTTTTTAACCTAAGATGAAAAGGAAAATTCGTTTTATTTAAATAAATAAACAAATTATCAAAAAATTTGTTCGTCCTTAAAATCTTCATGTCTCTACGTATATATTTCAATTTTCATATAGATACCTTTTAATATACTTTAGACACAGGGTCTGAAAGAAAAATTCATCAATTTATTTTTTATTTCCATTTTACGTTTTTGTTAGTTGCGTCCTTCTTTATGTAACCCGACGACGGCAGAATGTAACCCGGCCGGCTCGTGTCGCCTCACGCTGTGACGCAGTAGACAAAGAGTATAATAACTGTCCTAGCAGTAGGTTTCACTTTTGTTGGGGTTCGTTATTAATTGTAGTTTTTGAAACAGTTCCGTGTTGATTTTGTACACGCGTGCGCGAGCGACAGCTCAATCGTATTGTTATTACTTGTGATTACGTGTTGGTATTATTCTCGTTGTTACGTTTTTTGTTTTAATAATGCTTAACGCGTACTTTTATAGTGATTGTGAATACAGCAACATGTTATCCGAACCCAGGTACACGAAGTATCGCCAAATAAATTGTTAAGACGTCGGGATGGAACAAGTGTGTCATACTGTGCAGTGCACAAAGTGTTGAAGCGTAACCGAATGCGCCCATACAAATTGCACAAAGTGCAAGCTTTAGTTCCCGGCGATCACGACCGCCGACGAGTTTTCTGCCGTTGGTTATTATACCAACGACAACGTGTGCCTGGTTCCTTTGAGCACATTATCTGGACGGATGAGTCGACATTTACCAGAAACGGCCTGTAGAACCGAAGAAATACACACGTGTATTCAGAGGTTAACCCGCACGCTGTTCGACAAACCGGGCACCAAACCCGATGGTCGGTTAACGTATGGGCAGGTTTATTTAAGGATCGCATACTGGGACCAGTGTTTCTGCCACAGCGACTGAACAGACAGCGATACCATGTCGTGAGGTTCGTCCGTGAGCGCCTCAATGAGCTATTTGATGATCGCTGGATCGGCAGACTAGGACCACACGCTTGGCCACCTCGCTCACCAGATCTGACCCCGTTAGACTTCTTTTTGGTATGTGATAGAAAGGGTTTTTAATCGTGAGTGTGATAGTGCTGACAAAATGCGCCAAAGGATCGTGGATGCTTTCGAGAAACTATGTACGGACTGTGTCGAAGACCACACGATGATGCCCCGCCTGCACCCAAATCTACCTTGAAATGAATGGAGCACAATTTGAGCTGCATCTCATAAGACCACGGAGGATTTAGAGCGGTAAGCTGTTTCATAACTATTTTTTTTAAATAACTTAGTACTGAACTAATCTGAATAGGTACATAACTGAATACATGAGAATAATAAACATACCTACACGATGAATAAAAACGCATGACTCCAACCTTGGTTACATTTCATTTCAGTATTTTTTCATTAGCGTATATAGTGGTATGGCCCGCTAGTTGCGGGCCGCGCGAATTTGCGTTCGCGAGTACATTGACCTTTAGTCAGGTGATACAATTCAGTCATTCCACTGCTGGTTTTATGTTTCAGTATTTTCATGATATTTTTTATGAAATTATCGTTTCATTTAGCTGTACTAACATGATGGCGCGTGAATAAAGCTAATAAAACGTTGTTAAAAGATGATTTTTTTTTCATCAGGATCGAATTTATTTGTGACCCATGATCAAAGGTATACTTGGTGCTGTCGCCTGTCTTAGTTTTCGGGAGCGCTCCAAAAATACCCTGTATATATATATATATATACCAAAATTTAAAGACATGCATCTATCGACTTGCTGCACATCTTACCAGACAGCAGATTCCGCACCCATCACTTGCGGCGCATAGTGTAGTGCTCACCGTCGGGACAGAGCAGCTGCAAGTCGTCGGGCAGCAGGTCGCGCGCCCACCACTCGCGGCGCATAGTGTAGTGCTCACCGTCGGGACAGAGCAGCTGCAAGTCGTCGGGCAGCAGATCGCGCGCCCACCACTCGCGGCGCATAGTGTAGTGCTCACCGTCGGGACAGAGCAGCTGCAAGTCGTCGGGCAGCAGGTCGCGCGCCCACCACTCGCGGCGCATAGTGTAGTGCTCACCGTCGGGACAGAGCAGCTGCAAGTCGTCGGGCAGCAGGTCGCGCGCCCACCACTCGCGGCGCATAGTGTAGTGCTCACCGTCGGGACAGAGCAGCTGCAAGTCGTCGGGCAGCAGGTCGCGCGCCCACCACTCGCGGCGCATAGTGTAGTGCTCACCGTCGGGACAGAGCAGCTGCAAGTCGTCGGGCAGCAGGTCGCGCGCCCACCACTCGCGGCGCATAGTGTAGTGCTCACCGTCGGGACAGAGCAGCTGCAAGTCGTCGGGCAGCAGGTCGCGCGCCCACCACTCGCGGCGCATAGTGTAGTGCTCACCGTCGGGACAGAGCAGCTGCAAGTCGTCGGGCAGCAGGTCGCGCGCCCACCACTCGCGGCGCATAGTGTAGTGCTCACCGTCGGGACAGAGCAGCTGCAAGTCGTCGGGCAGCAGGTCGCGCGCCCACCACTCGCGGCGCATAGTGTAGTGCTCACCGTCGGGACAGAGCAGCTGCAAGTCGTCGGGCAGCAGGTCGCGCGCCCACCACTCGCGGCGCATAGTGTAGTGCTCACCGTCGGGACAGAGCAGCTGCAAGTCGTCGGGCAGCAGGTCGCGCGCCCACCACTCGCGGCGCATAGTGTAGTGCTCACCGTCGGGACAGAGCAGCTGCAAGTCGTCGGGCAGCAGGTCGCGCGCCCACCACTCGCGGCGCATAGTGTAGTGCTCACCGTCGGGACAGAGCAGCTGCAAGTCGTCGGGCAGCAGGTCGCGCGCCCACCACTCGCGGCGCATAGTGTAGTGCTCACCGTCGGGACAGAGCAGCTGCAAGTCGTCGGGCAGCAGGTCGCGCGCCCACCACTCGCGGCGCATAGTGTAGTGCTCACCGTCGGGACAGAGCAGCTGCAAGTCGTCGGGCAGCAGGTCGCGCGCCCACCACTCGCGGCGCATAGTGTAGTGCTCACCGTCGGGACAGAGCAGCTGCAAGTCGTCGGGCAGCAGGTCGCGCGCCCACCACTCGCGGCGCATAGTGTAGTGCTCACCGTCGGGACAGAGCAGCTGCAAGTCGTCGGGCAGCAGGTCGCGCGCCCACCACTCGCGGCGCATAGTGTAGTGCTCACCGTCGGGACAGAGCAGCTGCAAGTCGTCGGGCAGCAGGTCGCGCGCCCACCACTCGCGGCGCATAGTGTAGTGCTCACCGTCGGGACAGAGCAGCTGCAAGTCGTCGGGCAGCAGGTCGCGCGCCCACCACTCGCGGCGCATAGTGTAGTGCTCACCGTCGGGACAGAGCAGCTGCAAGTCGTCGGGCAGCAGGTCGCGCGCCCACCACTCGCGGCGCCGCCCGCCGGACACCTCTGCGGGCGCGCTGTGCCGCACGAACGCCACGTCGCCGCCGCCCTCCACCATGCACCGCAGCGCGCCCACGTGCCCGTAGTAGTCCTCACCGGCGTCGCGACGGCAGCGTCTATGGATGAAAATAACAATTAACTATCTCCTTTATCAGCTCGTAAAGTCCAACGCTCTTTCTTTTGTAAATGATTTGCCTTAATCTAGTCTTAAGCTTAATACTTTTCTGAACCTTCCCATAGTCTCCTCTTACATGCTTACAAGACCCACCATACAAAAGGGGGTTATAATACGGACGTTGATAAATACGGATGTAATGTTACACTAAAAATGTGTGGAACAACCCTAGGTTCTACAAACGCACACAAATAAATAAAGATCCGGCAGTCGGCGTCAGTGTGCAGCATTAGCTCTTATGACCACAGAGTACTTTACATACAAAAACTACTTGCTCAATACTATAAACATAGGTCATATAATCAAACTTCGTATCCCGCGACAAACTTTTACAAAATTAATATAAGAAACAACTTAAAATCGATCACCTCAATCCCAGAAATTATTATTATTATCAACCATGTAATCATTTATATTATAATAACTTCTTTTATAAAGTCTTGTCTAATAAGAAAAGGACCTTGTATATTTCCTGGGACTTTGTTGTAATAGCGTATACTGGTACATTGTTTCATCTTTTTTTTTAAATACCTGGCCTTACGGCCCTGGGTTCTAGCTCTTCTGAGCCTGAAGTTACAATGTATAATTAGCTTTCATAGTACATTGCTTCACAATGTTGATACGTCACATTATGCATCCCTTGGGAGATTTTGACGGCAACTTGAGCCAGCAGACAACTGACAGTTGGCGATGATATCCAAAGCGCCTAAGCAGACAGACACCTAATCTTGAGAATCACATCACAATCAGATCACTTGTTTCACTTTTACATATCAAAATCCACTTCAAACCATAATTTAAACAATAATACAAGAGCAGCAAACCGCCACCGGTCAAGTTTCCGCCAAAACTCCCCAGTAAGTGAATGTGTAAGTCACACTCACAGTCTAATATGATGCTTATGCATGATACAATGCGTAAGCGTCATATTAGTCTGTGCATTGTATGTTAAAGCTTACTTAGAATGTACGCCGGTCAACTTCCCGCCCCATTGTTCCATCAATGAATTAATGACTGCGGAGACGAGTAACTGATATCACTAGCTTGTTCCTAGTGTTTACAGTGTTGTGATTAGAGAGTGTTCGTGGTGTTACAAGTATTAGTCGGGTTTATACATATGTATATGTGCACAGCGTTTACAGAGTGTTTGTTCTTGATGTATACAGAGTGTTTGTGCCTAGTTCGTTCGTGAAGTTTTCAGAAAAGATACAGGATGTTTATTGGTGGTGTTTACAAGGTGTATTGGCGCGACTTGTGCTTGTGTGTACCTGAAGGAGGCGCCGTGGCAGAGGTGGCAGAGGTTGTCGTGCGGCACGGTGTCCGCGTCCACGTACTCGGTGCTGAGCGCGCCGGGCGCACACGCCTTGCTGAAGTACTGCACCGCCGGCTGCCGCCTGCTTGTTTGTGTGTACCTGAAGGAGGCGCCGTGGCAGAGGTGGCAGAGGTTGTCGTGCGGCACGGTGTCCGCGTCCACGTACTCGGTGCTGAGCGCGCCGGGCGCACACGCCTTGCTGAAGCACTGCACCGCCGGCTGCCGCCTGCTTGTGCTTGTGTGTACCTGAAGGAGGCGCCGTGGCAGAGGTGGCAGAGGTTGTAGTGCGGCACGGTGTCCGCGTCCACGTACTCGGTGCTGAGCGCGCCGGGCGCACACGCCTTGCTGAAGTACTGCACCGCCGGCTGCCGCCTGCTTGTGCTTGTGTGTACCTGAAGGAGGCGCCGTGGCAGAGGTGGCAGAGGTTGTCGTGCGGCACGGTGTCCGCGTCCACGTACTCGGTGCTGAGCGCGCCGGGCGCACACGCCTTGCTGAAGTACTGCACCGCCGGCTGCCGCCTGCTTGTGCTTGTGTGTACCTGAAGGAGGCGCCGTGGCAGAGGTGGCAGAGGTTGTCGTGCGGCACGGTGTCCGCGTCCACGTACTCGGTGCTGAGCGCGCCGGGCGCACACGCCTTGCTGAAGTACTGCACCGCCGGCTGCCGCCTGCTTGTGCTTGTGTGTACCTGAAGGAGGCGCCGTGGCAGAGGTGGCAGAGGTTGTCGTGCGGCACGGTGTCCGCGTCCACGTACTCGGTGCTGAGCGCGCCGGGCGCACACGCCTTGATGAAGTACTGCACCGCCGGCTGCCGCCTGCTTGTGCTTGTGTGTACCTGAAGGAGGCGCCGTGGCAGAGGTGGCAGAGGTTGTCGTGCGGCACGGTGTCCGCGTCCACGTACTCGGTGCTGAGCGCGCCGGGCGCACACGCCTTGCTGAAGTACTGCACCGCCGGCTGCCGCCTGCTTGTGCTTGTGTGTACCTGAAGGAGGCGCCGTGGCAGAGGTGGCAGAGGTTGTCGTGCGGCACGGTGTCCGCGTCCACGTACTCGGTGCTGAGCGCGCCGGGCGCACACGCCTTGCTGAAGTACTGCACCGCCGGCTGCCGCCTGCTTGTGCTTGTGTGTACCTGAAGGAGGCGCCGTGGCAGAGGTGGCAGAGGTTGTCGTGCGGCACGGTGTCCGCGTCCACGTACTCGGTGCTGAGCGCGCCGGGCGCACACGCCTTGCTGAAGCACTGCACCGCCGGCTGCCGCCTGCTTGTGCTTGTGTGTACCTGAAGGAGGCGCCGTGGCAGAGGTGGCAGAGGTTGTAGTGCGGCACGGTGTCCGCGTCCACGTACTCGGTGCTGAGCGCGCCGGGCGCACACGCCTTGCTGAAGCACTGCACCGCCGGCTGCCGCCTGCTTGTGCTTGTGTGTACCTGAAGGAGGCGCCGTGGCAGAGGTGGCAGAGGTTGTCGTGCGGCACGGTGTCCGCGTCCACGTACTCGGTGCTGAGCGCGCCGGGCGCACACGCCTTGCTGAAGTACTGCACCGCCGGCTGCCGCCTGCTTGTGCTTGTGTGTACCTGAAGGAGGCGCCGTGGCAGAGGTGGCAGAGGTTGTCGTGCGGCACGGTGTCCGCGTCCACGTACTCGGTGCTGAGCGCGCCGGGCGCACACGCCTTGATGAAGTACTGCACCGCCGGCTGCCGCCTGCTTGTGCTTGTGTGTACCTGAAGGAGGCGCCGTGGCAGAGGTGGCAGAGGTTGTCGTGCGGCACGGTGTCCGCGTCCACGTACTCGGTGCTGAGCGCGCCGGGCGCACACGCCTTGCTGAAGTACTGCACCGCCGGCTGCCGCCTGCTTGTGCTTGTGTGTACCTGAAGGAGGCGCCGTGGCAGAGGTGGCAGAGGTTGTCGTGCGGCACGGTGTCCGCGTCCACGTACTCGGTGCTGAGCGCGCCGGGCGCACACGCCTTGCTGAAGTACTGCACCGCCGGCTGCCGCCTGCTTGTGCTTGTGTGTACCTGAAGGAGGCGCCGTGGCAGAGGTGGCAGAGGTTGTCGTGCGGCACGGTGTCCGCGTCCACGTACTCGGTGCTGAGCGCGCCGGGCGCACACGCCTTGCTGAAGTACTGCGCCGCCGCCTGCGCGCCATCGCACCCGTACGGCCTGCACACACGCATACTCGACGTGATTTTATATTATTACCTTCTATTACTCTACCACTAAGCGATTTAAGGGTAGGTTTAATAAAATGTAATGATTTCTTAATTTTACGCATTTTATTAAAACTAGTTTTAATGGATTTAATCGCGCTAGTACAAAATTAATAATAATAATTTTTATTTTAAATTTAACTGAAGGTAACTGTGGTTAACTATGATATTGGGACGTCGAACACCTCAGTCGCCTCGTGACCATAAAGTTCACGCACTGTAAAGTACTCGAAACGGCGGGAATATAAGTTAATAAACACCATAAAATCCGTAAAAACTAGTTTTATTCTAACAAAATATCGTATTTTAGACATTGAAGTTATAAGGATTATAGTCCGGGTGTTCTATTTTGGCCGGGCTGAAATTAGTCGCGAGTGGCTGCGCAGATATAGTTTTTACGAACAAAATAGTGACAGAAAGCGGGGAGTGCGGATGGTAACTAAGACTAGAGATACGAATGCGCGCATATTGCACGGTTAGAATCAAGTAAATACTCGATTATCGATTATCCTTCAATTTTATTTTATATTTCTTATGGTTAAATGCTTTGCTCCTATTTTCATTGGTGTGATAATACAACATGTCGTTTTAATACAATGATAAGGACATTATTGAAAATTTAAAGTTATGTTATTTTGGGTTTACTAACGGAAATTATTGTCCCCGCCAATATTGTGTACTTACTATAATATATTAAAACTTTTTATCGTAATTCTTTAAAAGATACTATTGTTTCATTAAAATTCATAAAAATATTATCATAATAAACATAATTTTCAATTTCTTCTATAATCGATATGCACAAAACAAATGTTTCCCTAAGCAATCTCGAAGCAAATATGAAATGGCACATCTTTATCGATGGCTCGCCAGGCCGCTATGATCGGTACGTGTGCGAATTTCACGGAGGGCCAACTTCAGTCCGGTCAAGATAGAACGCGCGGTCTTTACATGCTATAAGAAACGAAGAGACTTGGTTGTTTGCAATACGCGTTAGGGAATTTTCACGCGTCCTGCACAACCGTACAGATTTTGTTCGTAGTGTCCTTTTCTAGTACATAGTACATATTACTTAAATAATTTTAGACTCATCATCATCATTACAACCCTTAACAAGTTCACTGCTAAACATAAACCTCCCCCAAGGAATACCACAAAGCACGGTCCTGAGCAACCTGCATCCAGACTTCCTGCATATCTTACCAGGTCGTCATTTCATCTAGTGTCGGGCCGCCCCGTACTTCGTATATTTTAGACTGACGCGCGTGAATTGATAGTTATTTAAACAGGATATTATGCTCTTTTTTACTGTGTAATTTACAATTAATAATAATAATACATTTAGTACAGGATCATTTTTGCCGAGTTTCGCTTAAGTCTGTCCTCGATATAAATCCTATCACTATTCTATCTACTGTCAACCAGCAGTGCATCCACTATTCTTTATTCTGGTTTGAAGGGTTTGAGAGTCAGTATTTGCAGGCTGTGAGGTATTTCATCTTAATCCTCATATATCAATTGATTGACAATCCACCAATTGTTCTCTTTGTTTGAAGTTGAATGAAGATATCCTATGGTTAGTAATGGCGGCTCCGTGACGCAGTTATCAAGGGGTTGCTGCGCTAAGGTTCGCAAGTTTCATTTCCGCACGGAACAAGTATTTGTATGGCAATGTATATACAAATAATTGTTCAGGGTCTGGATGTTTGTCCTTTAGAAATTAGTATATGTAAACTGTCTCCACGATATAGGAGTAAACCCTAGTGTGTATGTAACGTTTTTTAAAACAACAAAATAATATATCCCGTATATATCTAATGAACTGTTAGCTCAATTGTAACTGTTATAAAAAATGTTTCAGAAAATAAATGTGTTTGATAGTAATAATTACCTTATCCATCCATTAGATAGCAGATACGCTAATGGATAGATCCAACCGGCGGCCATACCAATACCGGTATGGCATGTGTTTTTGCCACGAAGATATGTTAAATCAGTATCGGGGTCTTGTTCCTTTGCCACTGCCACAGCATAATACCAGCTATGACCGTTCGTGTATACCTAGAGATATATAAATTAATATTCAAACAATAAATTCTTAAATAGTCACCTTATTCCTTCAACGTTATATTTTATTTTACTAGTTGTGATATTTATTTCACAACTAGTAAAATAAAATATAACTCATCATCATCACCAACCTACAAAGCATGTTTCTAAGCCACTGAAATGGTAAATACAACTTCCTGGGAATTATTATAAAAATAGACTTGTTAATGCGTCATTCCCGCATTTATTTATTCATTACATAGTATTAAAAGACCACTGCTGAACATAGGCCTTCGTGATAAGGATATTCGCCATAGTTGCCACACATAAATGAATATTCATTATAACGTGGTTCATGCAGTTGTTGAAGTTTTATACAAGAAGGACAAGAGGATAAGAAAGAGAGGAAATTAAGTATATCAAATCTATTTTTATCAATCACAATCAAACTTATTCACTGCTCAGCAAAATACGTCAGCGTGTGCTTCGTTTTCTTCATCGTCTTATAGAATCCATTGTTGAACATAGGTGTTTTTAAAAATAAGCTAAATAACACATAGCTTGAAAGCTTGGTACATACTCGTAACATTTAACTTTGCATTGTTAATACTGCTGTTCATTATTATCAGTATGTGGTAATTTGATTGGCATATAGGGATATATTTTCACGATTGGTATATGGGTATATATATATTTTGCGTACAGGGCGGAGCACAACTCCGCCCTGTACGCATTCTACATAAAGCAAACGGACCAAAATCATTACGGGACCCCCATCCCACGCTCGCTGTGGATTTCTGCAACATAAGGGGACTTTATTCAAACCTTAACGCTGTCCACCATCATCGCGAGACGGTTAAGCCGATCTTGCTTTTGTCTCACCGAGTTGCAGTGCTCTCTGGCTGATACATCTTTTTTATCTTACATTACATTAGATTACAAACTGGAACACTCTCTGGCCTCGCGCCGAAATTTGTGTGTATGTCGGAGAGTTCTCGACGCCTCGGTGTCTTGAAGGTAGGGACCTGTCCATCCTATGGTTACGCTCGGAACGCCAACGACCACCCCGCGTCTAAGGATGCCTTTACAGGTCCCACAGCGTTAATGCCGAGACAGACCGACTCATCAACCACGTCCAAATGACTATAGATTCTTTAAAAGCTTTTACAAAAATTTACTTCGCAAATATCCGCGTTATAAAATAAAATGATGTGTCTTACCTAGTATGAAGAAGCACCTCCCGCCCTCCCTCAATTGCGTGCACTAACCCCGTCACCACTAATCCCAGCACCGCTACTCCCAACACCACTACACTAGGCAAGACACACCACTGACGATAATACGACACGTGTTTCGCCTCAACACGAGGCATCCTCAGGTGATATAGACTACGGTGGCTAACCGCTAAGTGAGCGGCGAGCCAAAACAACTGCCTTTTATACAAACCGATGACGCAACCGCTCTCTACCTAAGAAGCGAGCGACTGCGTCATGCGATAAAACATGCGACCAATCACCGCTGGACTTACGCAGCCTCCTTTAAAGTCTTACATACGTGTAATAAAGGGCTGCGGCTGTGTGTGCTGGAACAGTTAGAGATATTAAAAAGTAATAATAATACCGTTGCATTGCTGAATGAACAAACAAATGTTACTAACTCACCTCTCTTAAATATCTTCAAGCCTGTTCTCTAATAATGTGGGCGTTGCGCGGCGGTTTGTTTTTAATTTTACAAACGGCTGCGTAAGTCCAGCGGTGATTGGTCGCATGTTTTATCGCATGACGCAGTCGCTCGCTTCTTAGGTAGAGAGCGGTTGCGTCATCGGTTTGTATAAAAGGCAGTTGTTTTGGCTCGCCGCTCACTTAGCGGTTAGCCACCGTAGTCTATATCACCTGAGGATGCCTCGTGTAGAGGCGAAACACGTGTCGTATTATCGTCAGTGGTGTGTCTTGCCTAGTGTAGTGGTGTTGGGAGTAGCGGTGCTGGGATTAGTGGTGACGGGGTTAGTGCACGCAATTGAGGGAGGGCGGGAGGTGCTTCTTCATACTAGGTAAGACACATCATTTTATTTTATAACGCGGATATTTGCGAAGTAAATTTTTGTAAAAGCTTTTATATAATGGATTTCCGCAAAGTAACGCCTGATTCTATTAATTATATTAAAAAGGCTAGCACGGCCGACCAGGCAAGACTCTATGTGAAATTAACAAAACTCCATCGTATTGCTGCCCAAAATGTTTGGTTCAATCAGCAGTGCAAACAACTTCATGTTATTCCCAATTATATTCAAATACGTTCCAGCACAAATAGTCGAGCGGCCAGTATTGCTATTTCTAAAGCTCAGAACATTTGGCTTAATGAGGAGTGTCGTCGTTGGTTTTCCAATAGAGATAATTTAAAAATCCACCTTAAAGTATTATACTCTGAACTTTCATATAAATTACATAATATTGAATTTGATATTTTGGATGGAAAAGCCAGAGAACTTGCTTCAATGGCTGTTTATGAGAAATATCAAATTCAGTCCCGTAAATTACAACGACTTGTATCCTCTTCATCCCGTAATCGTAATAACGACATACATACAGAATATCACCAATTTTATCCCCGAGTTAAAAATCTTTCCGATGTCCAGTTTCCAACAGATGAGTTGACTCTTTTACATAAAGGCCTAAAGTATAATTTAACACCTTCGGTCTCCCAAAAATCGTTAGAGACTATGGCTGTTGACGCGGAGGTGGCTGTTGTGATCGGAAGGAAAGATAACATCGTTAAAAGTTTGGTAGCTAATGAAATTCGGGCTGTGCCCGCGTCTTCCCATTTCAATCCTGAGTTCCCTGTTTTTAAGTCCCTAAAGCAGAGAATAAGGGAAAACGACCTTATTGTTACTAAAGCCGATAAAGGCAATACTGTTGTTATTATGGAGAGTAGTGGGTACAGCCAGAAAGTTAACGATGTTATCCAAGGTGATGACTTTGAGCTATTGGAGTCTGACCCAACCAAAAAGTTTACTTCGGATATTAAGTTATGTATACAACAGTCATCATATGTTTTTCCCGATCACAACTTGTCTCGGAGCAATCTTGTTCCAATGAATCCTCAAGCACCCATTTTATATGGGTTACCAAAAATACATAAAGAACATGTTCCTATTCGTCCAGTTGTCTCATATATTGGTGCACCAGCTTATTTCCTTGCTAAAAAATTAAACTTCCTCCTTCGAGAGAAATCTGGATTCAACCCCACTTACAGCCTAAAAAATGGCTTAGATCTCATTTCCAAAATTAAAGATATTCGTATTCCTCCTAAATCCATATTGTTATCTTTAGACGTTGATAGTCTTTTCACAAATGTCCCATCCCCTGATTGTTTGCGTATACTCGCAGATCTCTTTGAAAAACGTCGTCTACATCCCGGGGAAACAAATGATCTTCTTAACTTAACCTCTCTCTGTATGAAACAAAACTATTTCCGGTTTAATAACCGTTTCTATCTACAAAAAGAAGGGTTAGCTATGGGGTCCCCTCTAAGTCCCCTTATGGCGGACATTTTCATGGATAATTTCGAAAAACAACATATAGTTGTCAATCAAAATATCTTATATTACTATCGATATGTAGACGACATAATTATTTGCTGGACTGGCACAAGGAGACAACTGGATGTTTTCCTCAATAAAATAAATAGAGTCCATGACAAAATTAAATTTAAACTTGAATTGGAACAAGATTGTTCCCTTAATTTTCTTGACTTAACAATAACAAGAAAAGAATCGTCACATGTTTTCCAAATTTATCGAAAGCCAACTCACACCGACACAGTCATCCCCGCGTCATCATGTCATCCATGGCAACATAAAGTAGCCGCTTTTTATTGTTACATTAACCGGTTGTTCACTGTCCCATTAAGTAAAGAAAATTATTTAAAAGAACTTAATATAATTTATCAAATAGCGGTCTCTAACGGTTTTTCAAAAAATCTCATTAACAATTTAATTAAAAAGAAACAAAAGCATGTTATTCGCAACTCTCTGTACGCGGTTCAACCTCAAAGTGTTCATCGATATGTGAGCAGTTTGACCTACTTAGGCCCCATATCTGAAAAAGTAGCTAATACTCTTCGACAAAACGGCGTTTATGTGGCGTTTAAAACAAACAATTCTCTTAGAAATATCTGTAATAGTAAAGATAAGTTGGATATTCGTCAAAAGTCAGGTGTTTACAAACTTGTTTGTGACGAATGCCACGCCGTTTACGTGGGTCAAACTGGTCGCAATTTCGAGACACGTTATAAAGAGCATTTAGCCGCGTACAGGAATTGCAATCCCGATAAATCCCATTTTGCCAAACATCTTTTGGACACTGGACACAACCTAGCCAACGACCACTCCTTTAAAGTCTTACATACGTGTAATAAAGGGCTGCGGCTGTGTGTGCTGGAACAGTTAGAGATATTAAAAAGTAATAATAATACCGTTGCATTGCTGAATGAACAAACAAATGTTACTAACTCACCTCTCTTAAATATCTTCAAGCCTGTTCTCTAATAATGTGGGCGTTGCGCGGCGGTTTGTTTTTAATTTTACAAACGGCTGCGTAAGTCCAGCGGTGATTGGTCGCATGTTTTATCGCATGACGCAGTCGCTCGCTTCTTAGGTAGAGAGCGGTTGCGTCATCGGTTTGTATAAAAGGCAGTTGTTTTGGCTCGCCGCTCACTTAGCGGTTAGCCACCGTAGTCTATATCACCTGAGGATGCCTCGTGTAGAGGCGAAACACGTGTCGTATTATCGTCAGTGGTGTGTCTTGCCTAGTGTAGTGGTGTTGGGAGTAGCGGTGCTGGGATTAGTGGTGACGGGGTTAGTGCACGCAATTGAGGGAGGGCGGGAGGTGCTTCTTCATACTAGGTAAGACACATCATTTTATTTTATAACGCGGATATTTGCGAAGTAAATTTTTGTAAAAGCTTTTATATAATGGATTTCCGCAAAGTAACGCCTGATTCTATTAATTATA